TACAGAAAAGTGCCAGGCGCATTTCCATAAAGTAAACACGTAATAGGGAAGAACAAGTCTGACTCCATATTAGATCTGCCCCTTTAGCTCTAACCCTGGGCTCTGTTTCCTGGGCTGAGTCCTGCTGGGTCTGCCGCTTTTGTAAAAGAATGTTGCCTAGAGCCTGAAATAGACAGGAGAGCCCATTCTCAAGGCTCTGACCTTTAAGGGTGTAACACTTTTCCTTCATACAGCAATAAAAAGTTGTAAAGCAAAGAATAACATTTGTCTTACTGAAGGTTTACAGGGACATCGTGACCTGACCTGGACATCTGCAAGAACAAAGGATTCCGACACCAAGAAGTTTGCAACAACCAGCCACACCCCCTCCACTTTTAGTATAAACGGAGCCTGAATTCTGACGTGGGGAAGATGGTTCTCCAGGACATGAGTCTGCCATCTTCTCAGTCTGCTGGCTTTCCAAATAAAGTCATTATTCTTACTCCAACACCTCACCTCCCGATTTATTGGCCTGTCATGTGGCGAGCAGAACGAGTTTGGACTCAGTAACAAACACACCCATGTGGCCAGCACCCAGGTCAAGAGACAAAACATTATCAACACCCCAGACCTCCTCACCTCAGTTACTGTCCTTTCAAGGAGGATACGCTGAGTAAATATCCTTTGCCTGTTCTCGCTTGGTTGGTCTTCGTGTATGTCCACACGGGGATACAGAATTGAACCGACACAGACCCTGAACTTGCCCGCATGTGTCTTAGTGTCCAGCGAGCAGAGAGACGTGGCTCAAGCAATCACAGCAAGTGGGACCATGCAGCTGTGATGTTGCTGTAACCGAGAGAAGCGTGGAGATTCAATTGCCTGTGAAGTAAGGGTCTGACCTAGTCTGGGAGTCAAGGAAGGCTTCCTGGAAGAGGTGACGCCTGAGCAGAGATATAAAGACTGTGTGTAAGACACCTAAAGCAAGAGGAAGGAGACGAGTACTCCCAGCAAATACAACAGTACAAAGAGGCTGTGCCTGGAGGGGGCTTGAGTAATCTGAGGGACTAAAATGGGAGCATAAATAAATAAATAAACCTAAGTACCTCCCCCCACCAAAAAAATAAAAAAAACAAAATTTTCAAGCTCCACAGTGAAAAAAAAAAAGGAAAATTTGATTAAAAACTGGGCAGACGCCCTGAAGAGATATTTTTCCAAAGAAGACACACAGATGGCCAATAGGTGCAAGCAAAGTTGCTCAGCCTCTCTAATCATCAGAGAAATGCCAATCAAAACCACCGAGAGACACCACCTCACACCTGACAGAACGGCTGAAATGAAAAAAAGACAAGCGATAACAAACGTTGGACAGGACGTGGAGAAAAGGGAGCCCTTGTGCATTTTGATGGGAATGTAAGTTGGTGCAGCCACTGCAGAAACAGTAAGGTGGTTCATTAAAAGTTTAAAACTAGAACTACCGTATGACCCAGCAATTCCACTTCTGGGTATTTATCTGAAGAAAATGAAAACACTAACTTGAAAAGCTATCTGCACCCCCGTGTTCACTGCTGCATTATACACAATAGCCAAGCTGTGAAGGCCACTTAAGTGTCCATCAATGGATGAACAGATAAAAATATCACACACACACACACACACACAGGAACATTATTCAGCTGTAAAAAAAAAAAGAATGGAATCTTGCCATTTGCGACACCATGGGTGGACCTTAAGGGGATTACGCTAAGTGAAGTAAGTCAGACAGAGAAAGGCAAACATCATATGATTCACTTATATGTGGAATGTAAAACAACAACAAATGACAGCCAAGCTTCTAGACACAGACTAGATTGGTGGCTGCCAGAGGTAAGGGGTGTGGTGTGCGCAAAAATGGGTGAGTCAAAAGGTACAAACTTCCGGTTATAAAATACGTAAGTCATTGGGATGTAACGTGCAGCACGTGATGACGTTTGATAATGCTGTATTTGGAAGTTGCTAAGAGAGTAGATCTTTAAAGTTCTCATCACACACACAAAAACCCCCACTATAAATGTCTGCCTCTTCCCTTCTGTTTTTTCACATATATGCACATACTCACAGACCAAAAACTATATATATATTTTTTTAATGTGAAGACTTTTACTACATTCACCAAGTACATTCTACTCATATATTCCCAGCAGTATATGAGGGTATTTTGTTCCTGCACCTTCATCATGTAACATCATTCTTTCTTTTGTTAAATTACTAGACAAAATAATGGTATTTTGTTTTTATTCATTCTTTCTAGTGTGTGTGCTATTTACATATATTTTAATAACTACCTTTCATTATGTCTTAGTATTTTGCATCTTGATTTGTGTGATATCCTAATATGATAAGGTCACTTAGTTTTTGTGGGTCAGGCTTGTGGCAGATATTTCCCTGATTCATTCGCCTTTTCACTTTTTATGTTTTTTTTAAAGCTAGTATTTCATTACCAACTGCCGTTTCCCATCATGGTTGGTCCCACTGGTTTCAAGTGTAAAGCCTTCTCTGTCTTGCATGTGCCACTTATGTCTAACTTTATTTTTGGCTTCACTGTTTTTTTTTTTATTGTGGTAAAATACACATAACATAAACTTTATCATTTTAACCATTTTAAGTTCTGTGGCTTTACATTCACATTGTTGTGCAACCATCTTCCATCACCACCACCCATCTCCCGCACTTTGTCATCATCCAAAACTGAATGCCTATCCCCGCTAAATAGTAACTCCCGCTCCCCCTCCCCCAGGCCCTGGCAATCACCCTTCTCCACCCCGTCTCACCTCATATTAGTGAAATCATATAGTGTTTTCCCTTTTGTGTGAATCAACAATTTGACCCCCAGATTGCGCACAGTGGAATTCAAGTCATAATCTTGGCTACGCTGTCGATTCAGACATCACGTTTACTGGGTCTCTTTTCTTTAGTTTCCAGCGGAAAAACAGCATGAAAGTCTGAAGTGTCTTCGTTTAACCCATATGCTGTTTTCATTTAAATGAGCAGATTTTTTTTTAATGTCTTTATCTCTATGGACAATTGTAAACTCTCCCACAGAAAGAAAGGATTTTGGTGCGTTTCTATGGCAACTTAATGTCAGCAACCGAATTTTTTGACTTATTTTCCGAAACATTTTTTTTTTTAAGGCTGGGCAGGTTGATGCAGGCTGGTAATCTTATTTTCAAGTTCTTTTTGCTGTTCTGTAGATCTATGTATTCATCAAATAGTTTCTGAGCGCCTAACTAGGCCAGGCAGTGTGCTAGGCACTGGGGCCTAAAGACAGAAATGGTGATTTAAGAACTGCTGCTCCCAACAGCAGCTTTTCATTGATGACACAGCAAAAGCACATCGTCAGGGTGGAGGCAGGGGAATATGTTTGGGGGCAAATTGAAGATTGTCCAGAGTGTTCCCCCCAGAGAGACATCTGGGGCCCCTCCCTAAAGCTCCTGAACTGTCTGCTTCTAAGCTACTGAATCATTCTGATTCCAACACGAGATCAGTTTTCTTACTTTTAAAAAAACTTGGATTCAGCCTTAAAGAAGGAAATCCTGTCTTACGCTCCCACATGGATGAACCTTGAGGACTTTACACTAACCGAAAGATGTCAGTTGCAGAAAGACAAATACTGAATGATGCCACTTTTAAAAGACACCTAAAGTCATCTAACTCTTAGAGACAGAAAGAATGGTGGTGGCCAGCGGGGAGTTCTTGTTCAACGAGTATAGAGTTTACTTTTGTCAGATGAAAAAGTCCTAGAGATTTGTTGTATAACCCTGCACATACAGTTAATGCTGCTATAGCACATACACACTTAAAAATGGGTCAGGTGGTAAATTTTATGTTGTGTTTTTTTAACCACAATTTAAATTAAAAAATTTTTTTCTCTTTTTTACCTTTTTACCACAATTTAAAAAAAAGAGTTTAGTACAGTGCTGGCCATATAGGGACTCAATAATGTTTTCTGAAAGCCAAAAAATAAAAAACCCTAAAAAACAACAAATCACGAGGCCCCAAGTCCTGGCCTCATGTATTTTCCTGCAAATTGGAGCTAGACGCTTGGGAGCGGTTGGTAGTTTCCCACCTTTTTGCTCTTTAATTGGAGTGTGCAACGTAAGACAGAGTTGGGAAATACCGAAGTCAAGACTGTTTGTGAAAGTCATCTAACTAGTGTCATCTCCTTGGCTGGACAAGTCCTTTGTATCCAACTGACACTGACTTTGAGTTTGCCAGCCCTGGACTGAGGTCAGCTTCATACGTCCACAGTTTCAGAGGTTGACCACAGACCTGCCTCCATGGTGGCCACCAACATCTGGGAGACCCTTTTCAGTTTACAGGGCACCCTCAGATGTGTTTACCTCATTTTCACCACTGTCTCCTCTTTACTAGACTTCTGGTGTCTTCACACTTCAACAGCAGGGTTGGTTTGCAGAACTGAAACCTTAGTTAAGGTTTGTTGAGGTGTTTTTTTTATTATTGGCTGTTCCCACCCACCCACAGTCCCTTGAGATATAAATAGGAAAAAAAAAGAGGTTTAATTAGCAAGGCAAGACATCTGAGCTATGTCTACGTGATCCTTGAGAAGGAAATCTAAGAGGTTCTTACTATCGCTTTTTCAATCCTATATAAGGTAGGTCAGCAAGGCAGCAAAAGCGTATCTGGTTTCTTTCTTTCTTTTTTTTTTTTTTCCGCCCCTTCAACTCTTTTTCCTGATTCTTCTTGGTGGAAAATCTAAAGCGGTGAGTAGCTGGTGGACCTACCAGAACCCAGACTCTTCTTTCCAGCATGCATTTAGATTAGGCTGATGTGAGCTGTGCTCAGCATCTCTTTTCCCGTGGAGTGGACACATGGATGGATTTAGATCTCTGGTAGATGGATTTTTGATGTCTCTGATTCCCATCGTTCAGGACAGACAGCAGCCCTTCCACAGAAGATCTGCAAGCAGCCCATACTGTATCCACCCAAAGTGGAATTTGCAACATTGCAATTCTCTGGCTGGTGTATTGAAATGTTATTGCATTTGTAACATGGTTTCCTTAGGAATGGTTTGTAGATGGTCTATTATGTAAATACAATTTCTTATAAGGAAACTGAATCAAATTGTTCTTTAGGTTGCATTTTTTATTTCCTTTTTGGAGTATATTCAGGAAAGGGCACTGAGACAAAGGGGGCTGGGATCTTTTTAGTATTTGGCTTTTATTTAGATATACTGTCCCAGCTCTTAATACAATACTGTGCTTATCACATTTTAAAATTTCTCAACCAATGCACAGCTTCTGAGAGCCAGGGGAGGGGGCATTGTTCCCCAAGACGTGCATGTTTCTGCTGCCATTTACTACATCCCATTTATTCTGTGTGAACAGCTGGAAAATGAGCATCACAGACATCCTTAGCGCCGACGACATCGCAGCAGCCCTGCAGGAATGCCAAGGTAACGGGGAGATGGGGCAGGGGTGGGCATCTCTCATGGATTTGCACCTCCCGCAAAGCCCCCTAAATTAAAATGTGAACGATGGTGAAAATTCATGGGATCGGAGGATAAAACTTGCTAACTCAACAATTAAAATCTGAGATCTGAGTATATAACCAAAAGTGGAAAAAAAGAAAGCACTGGATGCCAGGTAGCCTGTTTGAATCCAGTGATTTCACTCCCCCCACCAATTAGGCCAGTGATGTTGGCATCTTAGATACATGGTCCATAAAAAGAGCAGGGGGAGACACAGAGGAGAGGAGAGGAGGGGAGGTGGACAAAATCTAGTGGAGAATCTAGTGGGGAAAGCTGGGGAGGTGATGACACCACAAAGCCGCCCAGTCTCAGCCGCCTCGAGCCCTTGGTCCAGTCAAAGCCCTACTTTTTCTTCAAAAAACTTCTTTGAATGGAGCATCCCTGTGGCTCAATGACATTATGAAAAGTGCTTTTAATAATCTATGTTTTCAGCTCTTTGGCCCAAGTACACAATGCAATCCAGCGGGCACCAGAATAACCCATTCTCTGTTCCTCAGACCCAGATACTTTTGAACCCCAAAAATTCTTCCAGACATCAGGCCTCGCCAAGATGTCGGCCAGTCAGGTGAAGGATGTTTTTCGTTTCATAGACAACGACCAGAGTGGATACCTGGATGAAGAAGAGCTTAAGTAAGCTTTGTCCAAAGCCTGCCCGGTACCCTGACATTGCTAGGTGGGGCTGGGTCACGGTGGGGGCCAGTCTGCTCAGCATTTCTTCCACGTCCAGCCCTGGTGCTGGTCACTCGGCATATCCTCATGAAGGGGGAGAACACAAATCAGTTCGGCCACACCTCTATCCACCCAAACCACTAAACATGGGCACCAAAGAGTGCGGCTGCAAAAGCTCATTAGTCATCTCTGTAAAAAAGAATGAAATAACGGCATTTGCAGCAACGTGGATGGACCCGGAGTTCATCATTCTAAGTTAAGTAAGCCAGGAAGAGAAAGAAAAATGCCATATGCTATCACTTATATATGGAATCTAAAAAAAAAAAAACACAAAACAGAAACAGACTCACAGACAAAGAAAGCAAATTTATGGTTACAGCAGGGGGAAGGGGGTGGGAAGGGATAAATTGGGAGTTTGAGATTTGCAGATAACTACTATATATAAAATAGAGAAACAACAAGTTTATACTGTACAGCACAGGGAACTATATTCAATGTCTTGTAGTAACTTATGGTGAAAAAGAATATGAAAACAACTATACGTATGTTCATGTATGACTGAAGCATTGTTCCATACACCAGAAATTGACACAACATTGTAAACTGGCTATACTTCAATTTAAAAAATATATATATATAGATACTAAAAATGAAAAGAAAACTAGAGGTCACCAAAGATATGTGAGTAAATACAGACCATGTGTGAAAAAAAATTCATTAGTTCAAGGGATTTTCTTTGGCAGAGGGACTTATGGGCAAAACTCTGAAAAGCACGTTTGAAAACAGAGCTCCCACTGTTAGTCTCTGTGATGAAGGCACACCTTGCTTGCTAGGATCTTGAGTGATTTTTGCAATTGCTGGGGACAGACAGTTTGCTTCAAGAGAAAAAGAAAGGGGTGAGCACAGATATGGGGTATGGGTTTTCAGAAAACTCCTATGAATCTTTATTATCCTATAGGTTTTTCCTCCAAAAGTTTGAGAGTGGTGCTAGAGAACTGACAGAGTCAGAAACCAAGTCCCTGATGGCGGCTGCGGATAATGATGGAGACGGGAAAATTGGGGCTGACGGTATGTTCACACCTGTGAGAGACTTTAGCTCAGGCAGCATTGGGGGCGGGGCTTTGGCCATGACATCAGACAGATGTGGGTTAAAACTCCCCTTTCTCAACCTTGCTGAGCCTCAGTCTTCTCATCTGTAAAATGGAACTAAAGTGAGGATGTAAATGATGTCTATATAGACTCCGGCATGATGCCTGAGGATGGACCACAGAAGCTGGTCCCTCTGGTCACTGTCTATGAACTGGAAAGTATCCTTCACCTGAATAGAGGACTAGCAACTTGCCTGGCCAATTATTTGCAAAGACATCCTAACGCACTTTAAGAATAATGTACAGAATTCCCAGGAGCGGGATTTGAGTCTCTCTGAATAAGGGGAGGACTGACATTGTCCAGTACATCTCATACCAAAAAGTCTGTTGACTTGAGTAGGAAATCCTCATAGCTTTCAAGGGTTTAAACAAATATGTTTCATTGGACATTAGCAAGTCCAATTGCCAATTGCATTACTTGGACATTAGCAAGTGGGCAATATTAGAGAACAAAGAAATCAATCACCATTTATGGTCTTCCAGGTGCCGGGCCCGGTACTCGGATTTTAGCATAACTGCATGGTTGCAGGATTACCTTTATCTGATTCTGTCCTGTTCCTTCCACGCTTTGTAGCTGCTCTTGCGCACATCAGCTCAGGAGAACTTAGGTGTGTTCCTTATGTTGGTACTAATTAAAATTTAAAACTGCTATTTTGACCCTCATTTTCAAAACCTATTCAAAATGATACCACTATAACTTACTACATGGGAGTTACTCTATAGATAGCTCAGAAAAATAAGTCTGGCTCTGTACATTGTAATTATATTTGCTTTCAGCAGTCAGTAGGCTTTAAATAAAGTCAAATGTGATCTTGATAAAAGAAAAAAAAGGAAAGGAAAGAAAAATAATTTGGGAAAGGGAAGATTGATTTATTGAAACCTAATCCTGAAGGATTTCCAAATCAGCACACAGCTTACCGATAAATATGAAGCAAACTTCCCATCTTCAATTTCAGTCTGTAGCACCCACACATCAGCATCACCATTATTTTTATCTTTTAGTGATAGAAATTTGGGGGGCAAGGTTCGGGTTCAGTAGAGAAAAGTTAATTTGAAGTCCCACTCTGTGAAATGTTTCCTAAGTAGGTAAGAAAACTTCCCATTGCGTCCTAAGTTGACCAGACAAAAAGCTGAGTGAGCGGAGTGTGACAGGCCAGCATACTGGATTCATTCACTGTCAGCGAGAAAGGACAGGGCTGAGGGGAAAAAATTCTAGTACGAGGGGCTCCTCACAAAGCTAAAGACGTCTGTTCAGTGAGATACGGCAGGAAGGTGGAACACGGCCACCTGTCTGGACCTGCAGTCAGTGACTCCTGCTTCTTTGTGCCCTCGGAGCGGGCCGTGCCCACCACCTGACAACCTGCCCGGTTCCCTTTCTTCAGAACTCTCCTGGGCGTTGCACTCCAGTCTATACATCTCCACTGACCTTGTTCTCACCCCTTCTGTTCTAGAATTCCAGGAAATGGTACATTCTTAAATGGCCCAAACCATGGAGACAGAATCAGCTGGAAAGCTCCACTCCAAAGCCCCAGGAATTGGGAAACCCCACATCTCCCCCCACCTAATTTATTTACAAATGTCCCTGAAAATGCTTCTGCAATTTGCTCATTGTTTTAGCGAGGTCATAAGACCGCCATCCGTGACTTTTTGGTGGTGGGTTTAACCAGATGACTCCTGTAAGTCCCACAGCAGACAATGCCTTTAAAATAAATTCATCCAATAAAGACACATTTCTCAACACCCGCTGTTGTGGTAGTGTGGTTTATTTCCTCAGCAAAGTGGAGGGGTGAAAGCCGTCTGGAGACTGAGGGCTTTTAGGAAGAATTCCGGTTTTATCAAGCACTAAGCCAGCCACACTCATGTTGTGCACAGGCACATGGGGAAAGCAGGATGGGGGAAAAAAAAGTCACCAAGAAATGTCACCATCAGGCCAGGACTTTCTCAGTGGTTTATCTGAGTCTGAAATACCTGTGAAGAGATTTTAGCATAAAGGCACTCCTGCGTGTGTGTTTTCTGCTACTGGCTTGTAGGATGTGGTAAGCGAGATTTAAGTGAAAGCAAACAGCACAAGACAGAAAAAAGTGTGAGGCTACCAGTGGCCCTAAAGCTAAGGAGACTTGTATGCTGGAACCTAGCAGGCACATTTTCAAGCTTATTTATTTATTTATTTATTTAAATTGATTGATTGATTGATTGAAAAACAGGAGATCAGGGACTTGCCTGCTCTGACCCAAATCTCCTGCCTTCCCCTTCTCTCCCCCCACCCCCCCTCCACTTTCTCAGCCACTATTTTCCTGGCTTTTATTTGATACCCCTGAGCCAATTACACTCAGAATTGCCCTAACATTTGAGGAGAGCTTCAAAGTCCCTTTACAGGGCTTTCATTGGGGTGGGGCAATCTCAAGCCAGGAAATTCTCATTAGGCTGATTTCCAGGCGTCTGGTTCAAGCTGTCCTCTCCTGCTGCCCGGGGGCGGGGGGGGGGGCAGTTGAGGACTCCCAAGAGGAACTGAGGCATCTTTCTGGAAGCCCCTCTAAAAGCTCACACTTCTTACCCCAACACCTAAGCTCCCAACGTCCTGGGCTCTCCTGGGACTTGGCGACTTTGAACTCCTGTTTTTTGGAGGATGGTAGTAGAGCAGCTTTTCAAAGCTGGGGCATGTGCTGCAAGGGGGCCTCCAGATGGTTTTAGGGGGACAGGGATCAATATTTTTTTAATTTAATTTTTTATTTCAATGTGCATCAGAAAAGTGAAAGTTAACACCAACATGTGATTTCAATATCCCTGCTTTAGAATGGGGCTACAGGAGTAACAGACATTTGAAAGCATATGGATTTGAAGAATATGGAGTCACGGTGAAGGGACAAAACCCATAAAGGTTTTCATATGAGTCGAAATGGGGAAATCCAGCTTGAAAATGAACTCTCTGGGGAGGGCCAAGAATAGGACTGGGTCATTTCATAGTCGTCCGTCTTGTCACCTCTCCCCATAGACACTTAGGTTCTTCGGTCCTGATCCCCAGCCATCCTGGCAGGAATCAGGCTAGTCCCTCCCCACCGCTAGCTTCCCTTGGTGTGTGACAATGTTCCCCAGGTACCAGCAAGAGGGCCTTCTGGGACAATACTGATGACCGAAGAGCCTCGATTCGTACACAGGTTGCCTTCACCGTCACACCACATGGGGGTACTCTGACCTTCCCATTATCTTCCATTCACTCCATTGGCCCTTCCCAGCTAAGGGTTCTTCATGCCAACAACAGTTCTGAAGGGGGACCTCTAAATAACTCACTGTGATCCTGTAGCCCTCTTTCTGTGGGGCTCTGCCCACCATATGCCTCGGAGAAACGGTATGAATGATGAAGCTTTTAAATAATGGTTACGAGCTTTTCGTAGACTAAGCAATCCATTACCCATTAGAGCCGCCAAGGCAGCCTCACCTGACCTAGGTAAAGATCACGGGTTTCTCATTTCTTTTCTCTCTCTCAGGAGGGCATCTGTATGGGAATGATCATGGGGGGCAGTATTTGCAGCACCCAGGGGACACTGTGCTACAGGGTCATACCGATGTTCCGACTGTTTTAGGGAAATTGCTTAGAGGATGGATATATACAAGAGGATAAATTGCCACAAATTTTCCATAGATTGAATGATGGTCAGTTATTCATGAATTGTGTTCATTCTGCTGTTTCAAAAGTACAATTCACAGTATTTTTGCCCATTTCAATTTCATTACTTTTTCATTCTTTTAACCTAGTCTTAGAAACGTAATTTCAGAGCCTCTGTCAATAGATAAATAACTCACAATCTAAAGGAGCTATCTCTCTGTATTTAACCAAAAAGTGTCAGGTGGTATGCTTCAATGAAACACAATAATTTTGTGTGGTCTTATGTTGCTTGGATTTGAGGTATTTTGGGAGGGGGTGGGGCTTCCACTCTGAATGAAGGTTAACAACTCTGAGCATCTGAACGTATTTGTGAATTAGCATTTTTTATTTGGGGGTTCTTTTTCTAAGTTGAAATGTCATAGAAACAGTAGCATTTCCAAACATTAGTGGTAAGTATAATTTGAAAACAAAAAATGTTTTCAAAAATTACCCGAGATCAGTCATCCAATAAATAGCATACAAAGCAATTCATTTTTAAAGGGTTGGTATTCAGTGTGTGCCTCAGGGAGGGAAAGAGTGACAGGACATATAGCAAAATGTTAATAGTAGTGACTCCAGCTGGCAGGATTACAGAGCAACGAGATGAGCCTGGAGGCTTTGTAGTAAGTGGAGCATAGTAACTAGAAAGTGAAAAACTGACATATAGATTTTACCCAGTCAGCCCAGCTCAAGAGAGCACGTTCTCAGCAGTAGAATGATGTGTTTTGATTTTGAAATGAGGGCCTAGGCTGCCTAATGGGTCACAGAACTGGAAAACCCAGCTTGTATTATTTTCCCTACTTGCTTGTAAAATAGGGCGGCAACAGTGGCTATAATTTGGACCATTTTTACTTAAGAATATTTTGGCTTAGAGTTCAGTAGTTTATAATTTAACGGATCTCAAAGTTGGCTTTGTGAATGTTCTTAACTGTGTAAACTAGTGAGAATTACGGACATGCTTCAGATGTTAGCAATAACGTATTCTGCTTCAGACTCTGCACGTTATGAAATACTTCTACAATTTTGTTAATGTATAGGTTTTCACAGTTTCTTCCAGCTTGAACACAAAGTGCAGCAAAACAGTGAAGATGTGAAATATTCATCAGCTTGCTCAGGTTTACAAGTTACAGGGTTAATTCCGTGTAAGGAATGCAGTTTAACTTTGGGTAAAGAGTACTCAGGAATCCAATTTCAAGAAAAAAAACCTATCTGGTATCTCTTCTGCTAGTGTTAAGGTATGGCATTACTTTGCAAACACGTAAGAAGACAGATGAAATTGGAATCACCAGGATCATTTCCACCTGGCCTGTTAATTTATTCACAGGAAAGGCTATTTATTTACATTATGTTTTAACTAGTTTCAAAAAAATCAACTTTTTTTGGAAGGCGGATTTTGACATTGTTTTCTTAGGGGCTCTACGATGAATGTAAATGGGTTCATACCTTAAATTATTTTTAAGTTATAAAGTATTTCAAATGCTACCTTAAAAATTTTTTTTAAATTATTACTTTAATCTCAAAAACATGTCTTTCTAACAGAAGACTGTCCTATACTAAAGCAAGCTAGCTGAGGCAGTCTTTGAAGGGCAAGTAATGATAGTAATCTTTTGTTCAATAATCATTAAGGGCTGGGACCTACTATACATACAATCATAGTCCCATTTAATTCTTTTTTTTTCTGTTTTTCCATTTAATTCTTAAAGTGAAATTCCTACTGGAAAAGCCTTTACTATAGTTATTTTACATATAAGAGATAGAGACTGTAAAAAGGTTATGTAATTAGTCCAAGGAATCACGCCTGGGGAGGGACAGAGCTAGGATAAGTCCCCAGATCCGTCTCATGTTCAGATTCCAGCACCGCCTCCCTAAACGTGAAGGTCTATTCCGCCAGCTTGGATAACAGGTCCTGTTTCCAAACCTAACCTGTGACAGGTAAGACAACCTAAACTAAGGTCTTACTGAGTCTGGCCAAGCGGTCTGCTGCAAAGGCTTCATCTCCAAATACC